TTCTCCTCCCCCTCCCCTCCTTCTCCTCCCCTCCCTCTCATCCTCCCTCCATCGCTTCTTTCCTCCCTTTTCTCCTCAGACCTTCAAGCGCAGCCCAGGAGAACAGCGCGAACCGGAACAAGTTGTCGAAGTAGTCGTGCCCTCCGGGGTCCCCGTACATCCCAGCCCGCTCGAACGCGTTGGCGTTCTGCACGAAGATCCGATCCACCCCCATCTTGGGGTCTCCATCCTCCCTGGGGTCCGTGGGGCACCACTGGTGGAGATAATGTACGTCGTGCCCCCCCCCGTACAGCGTGAAGGTTCGGCGGACGTCAGTCCCTACTGCCCCCTCGTACCACTTGTAGGCTGGGGCCACCGTCATGACCCGGTGACCCATCTGACTGAGCGAGATCGAGAGCTTCGAGGCCACGTCAGCCAGCCCCCCGGACTTTGAGTAGGGAGTTAGCTCCGATGATATGATAACGATCCGCAACCTGCTCCTCCCCCCGTCAGCTCTCCTTCCGCCTCCTCCTCGTTCCTCGTTCCTCATTTCCCCGCCTCCTCCCTCACCCCACGAGTCTCCTTCCTTGATCGACCCCCTCCCTCCCCACCCCCTCCTTCCCTCCCCATCATGCTTGCCTGCCGTCTTCCTCCGGCTGCTCCTGCTCCTCCGCCACCTCTGCAGTCTCTGCGGCCTTGGCGGCAACTTGCTCGGCCTTGGCGGCAGCAGAGATCCTGGAGACTTCTTGGATAACTTCCTCGGGCCTCTCAGCCTTCAGCACCGTCTTGCCTCCCACAGCCTGGTCGAGGACGCGCAGCCAGGCGTCCGTTACCTCCTTGGGGGGCTCGGGCTTGGGCTGGGCTTTTGTCTTTCCTGTCGGAAGAGGAATGGGGTGTGCCGAAGGAGCAACCTGCGATGTTGGAGTGGCGAAAGGAAGGCGAGGAGAGGGAAGAAACGGAGGAAGAGAAGGTGGAGGAGAAGGTGGAGGTGGAGGTGGAGGTGGAGGTGGAGGAGGAGAGGGAATCGTCAGAGGACGACAAGAGCAGCATCACTGTCACCTCAGCCTCATCTCTCAGCTTCGACGTGATCTTGTCCTCGTCGAGCATGGAGTAACTCTCCATCCTCGTCACCGTCTGGCTCATCCGGGGGATCACTGGCTTCATAGCAGGAGGAGGAGGAGCCGCAGCCTCCTCCTCCTGCTTCTGCCCGGCCTTGGACGCCACGTCAGCCTACAAGCATGACAGTCAGCTGAGAGACTTGAGACGTCCCGTTGCAGAGCAGATCGAGGATGTTCCATTCACCTGCGCAGCCTTCGTCCCTCCTCCTTGGCCCTTGGGCTGCTGAAACTCTTCCTCAGGCAACAGCCGCACAGGAGACAAGGAGGGCACCCACCGGAGCCTGACCTTTCCCGCTCGTCCAGCCTGCGGGGGCAGACGGCTTGGTCGCCTGCTCAGGGGGTGAGAGGGAGGAGAGGGAGAGCTAGAGCAAGTAAACTCACGTTCCTAGTCACACCACTTCCTCCCCCTTCCTTGCTGAAGTACGAGCTTCCTCCCTTGAGCCGCATCGGCTGCTGCTGCATGTGACCTGGAAGGAGGAAGAGGAGGGCGTGTGAGTGAAAATCCGAGCAAAAGCAGGGGAGCTATCACCTGCTGACCTGACGGACAGCTCGATCGACATGCAGGAGGCGACCTGGAGGCCCAGCATGATGGCACTCCAGCGCGCTCCCTTGCTCATCCACATGTTTCCGTTCAACTTATATCAGGGCCGGACAACCTCACAACGACGCTCTGCCTCTGCGATCACTCGCTGCTCACGAGTTCTCAGTTGAGCCACAGCAAATCCCTCCCACCTTGCATGTAATGGATCAACAAGAAACTATGACTTCCGTTTACGCCCTTTGCAAACGATGTCAGTCCAGGATCCATCTTAGGTTTCCCTGCTCTCCTCCTCCACTTCTCTCCCTCTCCTCCTCTTACTCCTTACCCGCCTGCTCCTGCCCCTCATCGTACTCCAATTTTGCTCTTCGAACAGTACCTCCCTAACTTAGACGCCAGCATCTGACCTTGTCTCATGATCTCATGTATCGGTCCAATCCTTGCCTTAGCTCCATCTCCCTCCCTCCCTCCCTCCCTCTCTCCCTCCTTCCCTCGCCCGCCATCCCCTGATTCCATTTCGTTTCCTGCCATGATGGATCCAACTACCCCCTTCAGTCCACCCACTCATAGTCAGACCTACCCCTCAATTACCATCATTTCACCCCACCTTTCGTCCTTACCCCTAACACCCCTTTGTTTTGCACCCCCAGACAAAAAGCTCATATAAGGGGCGTACCCTCCCTTTAATCCTACCCCACCCCCCTCAGAACCTCTCCGTACCCTCAGTTTCCCCTCTTTCTACCCCCCGTCTTGAGCCCAGGAATCCCTGAGGGCGGCGGGCCTGACCATTTAAGGGGGGGGGCGACGAAATTGAAACTGTTTCTTTGCCACTGAGGCCTGAGGACCGGCCCGGGGCCCGGGCCGATGGCTGCGAGAGAGTCCGACTCAGACGGTCGGCACGGTCACGGCAGTGAATCATCGCTGAACCCGGGGGCCGGCCGATGAGTCGCCCCCGCCGATCATGATCGGACTCACCGGGCCGGAGACCTGTGTTGACACTGCGGGCCGCGCTTATTCAGTTTCAGAACGAGCCTCAGGCTCGCCGGATCATAAGGCGGCAGCCTACTACTCAGTGAGGCCGGGGGCGGTGCCCGGCGGCCCGGTCCGGCCGGGCCGCCGCATCATGCGGCTGAGTCACGCTCCGAGGCTCCGACTTGAAGACTCTACAACACACTTCGGTTCGCATTTGGTATGGGGGTGTAGGGGATTTACTGGAACAAGGGGGGGTAGGGGTGATGAAACCGAATAGGCGACCAGGCAGTGCAATGACGAGTAGATCAGATCGAGGACGATCGATGACACGAGGAAAGTAGAGGAGAGGAGAGGAGAGGAGAGGAGAGGAGAGGAGAGGAGAGGAGAGGAGAGGAGAGGAGAGGAGAGGAGAGGAGAGGAGAGGAGAGGAGAACCAGAGGAGAAGGAGAAGGAGAAGGAGAAGGAGAAGGAGAGAAGCAAGTAGAGGAGGAGGAGAAGGGACGAGGGACAAAGACACGGGAGAGTGAGACGATGATGATGGGCGAGAGGAACATGACCCTTCGGACGACAATGCTTGTCTGGCTGGCGATTCTTTTCGTCACGAGCCTTTCGTTTGCTTCAGCCCTGGCGAGGGAAGGAGATCAAGGACTGCCTGGAGCGAGCGACGATGCCGAGGTAGACTTCATCAAGTTCGATGAGGACGGCGATGGAGCCCTGAACATGAAGGAGTACGAACGGATGCTGTCTGAAAACCGCGATAGGACGGGAGGAGATGAGGGCTGGAAGAGCTTCTTCGTCAAGTCAGACACATCAGGGGACGGGAGGCTAGACTTCCAAGAGTTCTCCACCGCAATGATAGGCCTCATGGAGCAGGGGGGCAGCTGCGGTGCTCAGGAGGGGGGACAGGATGGAGAGAAAGGAGAGAGAGATGGAGGGGAGGGGAAGGATGGGGCATACTCGGATGCCGACGAGCCTGCTCGGTATGCCCTGCAGTATGACAAGGATGGGGACGGGAAGATCGGCTTCTCAGAGTTTAAGGAGCTCATGATGGAGGACGGGGACACGGAGGAGGAGATGGAGAGGGGGTTCACCGCGTGGGATAAGGACCATGACGGGAAGCTGGACTTCAGCGAGCTGCTGCTGGGGCTGACGGGGCAGGGACAAGAGCCTTCCAGGGTCTCTTCCTCCTCCTCTTCCATCCCTGAGACATTCATCCACTTCTGTACCGTCACCGCCTAGCTCCTGAGCGGGATGATCGCAGGACGTGAGCGACGCTCAGGAGCAGCCAGCAGATCTGCTCCCCCCAAGAGAGCTCTACGAGCTGGCGAGGCAAGGGCGGGTGGATCGGTTGAAGTACGTCATCGACCACTCCTACTCCGTCGACGGCAGCGCTCAGGAAGGATACTGCACCCCGCTGCACATCGCGCTGATCCAGGTGGGGGTGAGCTGGCGGGAGCTGCGGCTGACTGACTGCCCTTGTGCTGCTCGCTCAGTTCGAGACGTGGAACTTTGGGAACCACCTCAACTTGAGAGAGAATCGAAACTTCGCGGAGGTGGCCAGGATACTGGTGAGGGAGGAGTAGGAGCAGGAGCAGGAGCAGGAGCAGGAGCAGGAGCAGGAGGTAACCTGTTTGACAGATCGCGGAGGGAGCGGATCTCTTCCACGCATGCGATGGGTTGACGGCCTTGCACTATGCGACCATCTCCAGATGCATGCCTGCTATCAAGGAGATGTAAGAGGACAGGAGGAGCAGGAGGAGGAACTGGGGTGGAAGGGAGAAGGAGGAAGGGGGGGGAGAAGGGAGGAAAGGGGAGGAGAAGAAGGCAGGAAAGGGGAGGAGGAGAGGGGAGGAGAGCAGGGAGGGAGCGCTGACTTGACGTCACAGTATCAAGAGTTTTCGCTCGAGGTTCGGCGAGGCGAAGCTTGATGACATCCTCCTTGACGGGACGACTGCACGAAACCCGCACGCGCCCGGGGGAGGCTCCATCCTCCACTACGCGACCAACCTGCACAACTGGTACATCGGCCTCTCCAAGATTATCACCGGCCACCCAGGAGCTGGGTGAGGAGGACGAGGACGAGGACGGGGAGGTTGATAGGGATTATGCAAGGAAGGGGGGGGGAGGGCGGGGGGGGATAGAAGGCAAGGGGTGAGGAAGGAAGAGGGGGTGGTGGTTAGAAGGCAATGGAAGGGGGTGGGGGGGGGAGAGAAGGAGGGGGGAGGGCAGCAGGGTTGTTCTTAGCTGATGCTGTTGCAGACATGTAAACCGAAACATGCACGAGCAAGGAATTCTCACTCGCGAGATGCTCCGAGAAAACGTGAGGAGCATCAAACGGAGTAGTAGAAGTAGTAAGAGGAGCAGGAGGAGCAGGAGCAGGGGGGAGGAGGGAGGAGGGAGGAGGGAGGAGGGAAAGGGGCGGGTTCGTTCAACTGATTTGTGTTCAGGATCGCAAACATTTTTATGATTCATTTGCTGAGCTTGGCATTAAGATATCACCTGATATCCTCAGGAGGTGATTCAAACTCTCGCCCTCCTTCCTCTGCTTCCGCCCCAACCATCACTGCCATCCCCTCCCCCGTCTTCTCTCCCCTTCCCCTTCCCCTCTCCTTTCTGTCTACTTTCTGCTATTCCTCTTCCTCTTCCTCTTCCTCTTCCTCTTCCTCTTCCTCTTCCTCTTCCGCCATCCCCGTCCTCCTCCTGACTTCTCGCAGCAATCGCACCACCTACGACCGTACCGACTTGGGTCGTCTGCTTTCCAAGTGGAACTCGAAGTTCGTCAAAAAGCTTCTCAACGCCGGGATCTCTCATCAAGTCCTGTGAGATCCTCCTGCTCGTCCTGCTCCTGCTCCTGCTCCTGCTCCTGCTCCTGCTCCTGCCCCTTTCCTCCTCCTCCTGCGCTATCCGCTAACCAGCAGCATGCTAGCGATCACAACGGCGACTCGCCCCTGCATGTCGCTGCCTCGTCGGGGGATCTGGTCACGTGCAGGCTGCTGCTGGAGGAGGGAGCAAGAGCGGACCAGAAGAACCTTAAGGGGATGCTGCCAGCTGACCGAGCTGTGCAGAACGGCTTCTTCGAGGTAGCTGAGCTCCTGCTGGGATATCACTCTTCCTCCCTCGACAGCCCTGCCTACCTGGCAGCGGCAGCGACGAGGGACGGGGAGCAGCTGCTGAACTTCTCGACGTGGAACAAGAGGATGCGAGGAGAGCTCCCTCCTTCTCCTCTCCGTGGGACGACGAGCAGGACGGCGGGGAGGAGGAAGGATAGTGCGATCTGCGAGGTAGCGGAGGGAGGGAGGAGCGGAGGGTGGAGGAGGGGATGCCTGCCGGAGGTTGAGATCGACTTCTGCGACATCTCGTCCATCGATGTGTCGGATCCTGCCTTCGAAGAGGTGAGGGAGGGAGGGAGGGGAGCGAGAGGGAGGGGAGGGGAGGGGAGAGGGAGGGGAGCGGAGGGAGCGAGGGAGAGGAGGGAGGGAGGAAGAGGAGGGAGGGAGAGGGAGGGAGGGAGGGAGAGGAGAGAGGAAGAGGAGGACGAGGACGAGGAAGAGAGACTAGGCTGACAGTGGTTTGCTCAGGTGCTGCGCCATCATTCTCTCATGCATCGTCCCCTTCGCATCACTGGGGTGTGGCGGGACGAGGACGAAGAGAGTCTGCGAAAGATCTGGAGCAAGGAGGGGCTGCGAGCAGCAAGCGGCGAGCTTGGGAAGTTCAAGGTAAGAAGGGGAGGAGGAGAAAGAGAGGGAGGGGGGAGGAGGGAGGAATTCGAGATGAAAGTGAGGGGGAGGGAAAGGGGGAGAGGTAGGACGGGTAAGGGGCAGTGGTGGCGGGGAAGTGGGAGGGGAGGGGATGAAGAGGAAGAGGGGGAGGGGGGAGCAAGGAGGGGGAGGGTTGAGGGTGTGGGAGTGAAGGGAGAGGAGGAGGGGGAGGTGCTGACGAGGGTGGGAAGGTATTCCGACAGAAGGGAGGGAGGAAGGAGAGCGTGGGGATGGAGATGTCAGACTACCTTGACTTCATGGAGTCTCATGACCCTGCGCTCGACCGAGCACCCGACTGGCTCGTGGAGTTCGGACTGCAGCCCGGGCATCCGCTGGTGGACTCGCATGACAAGGTTGGGGGAGGGAGGAGCAGGAGGGAGAGAGGTGGGGCGAGGAGAGCAGCAGGAAGGAAGGTGGGGTAGGAAGGCCAGGAGGCAGAGGATCGAGGCGCGTGAGGATGAGGACGAGTAGGAGGAGGAGGAGGAGGAGGAGGAGGAGGAGGAGGAGGAGGAGGAGGAGCAGTGCAGCAGCAGCAGCAGCAGCGACGGGGAAGGGGAGGACGTCTTGATCGAAACGGCTGAAGGGCTGGATCGAGGTGGTCAGGAGGGTTGTACCAC